CTGTTCACGATTGATTTGTATTATAAATGTGTCTCATTTTATTTCTGATTAGTTTTGGAAAGATGGTCAAAAGTTTGAATTTATAGAAAAAGGGGAAATCTGTTAATGTCAGGTTTATCACGAACTTAATGTCATTATTTAAGGACAAGAAGAAACACATTATTACCATTAATTGTCCGAGCGCATATATTGGGAGCATCTGTAACATAGTGAAAGGAGTTGTAAGACTTCATAGTCAAACTCCATCCATAAAGAAGGATTTCTTTTTGGCATTTTATTAGTTCGTTTAGATCCATACCGACAAGGATAGAGAACACTAAAGATTTACAATTCTTCAGTAAAGAAATTTTTCCTCAGTCCGAAATGATCAGGAGAAAAAATTTAAATGTCATAGGGAAGTCATGAATAACTTATACAAGTCACTGGTTGGACCTCAAATTGGGTATTTACAGTTCTGGATGCCATACTACAGGAGTGATGTGGAGGAACCGGTGTTGGACTGGGGCAGACAAACTCGGAAGTCACACGACACCAGGTTTATAGTCCAACAAGTTTATTTGAAATCACAAGCTTGTGTGTGACTTCTGATTTTGTACACTACAGGAAGGATGTGAATGTATTGGGAGAATGCAGAAGAAGTTTACAAGAATGGTTCATTGGATCAGAAACCAGAAAAGATTGGAAACGTTGGGACTGTTTTCCTTGGAGGAGTGATTTGATCGGAGTTTTCATATTGTGACAAGTCTGGACAGAGTAGGTAGGGAGAAACAGTTCGCACTCATGAACGCATTGAGAACAGAGGGCCGTTTTGAAATGTATTACAAAAGAAGCCAATGTGAGGCAAGAAAAATGTTTTCCATACAGCTGGAAATTAGGATATGGAATGCACTGTCTGGCATGTAGTGGTGGCAGATTTAACTAAGGCATTCAAGGTGGTATTAGATAATAATTTTCATTTAAATAATGTAGCGGGTTGCAGGGAAAAGGCAGGAGATTGGCACGAAGTTAGAGACAACAAGGTACAGAGCTAGATGAACACAGCAGACCAAGCAGCATCATAGGGGCAGAAAGGCTGACGTTTCAGGCCTAGACCCTTCATCAGAAATGGGGGAGGGGAAGGGGGTTCTGAAATAAATAGGGAGAGAGGGGGAGGCGGATAGAAGATGGATAGAGGAGAGGATAGGTGGAGAGGAAACAGACAGGTCAAAGAGGCGGGGATGGGGCCAGTAAAGGTGAGTGTAGGTGGGGAGTTAGGGAGGGGATAGGTCAGTCCAGGGAGGACGGACAGGTCAAGGGGGCAGGATGAGGTTAGTAGGTAGGAGATGGGGGTGCGGCTTGAGGTGGGAGGAGGGGATAGGTGGGAGGAAGAACAGGTTAGGGAGACAGGGACGAGCTGGGCTAGTTTTGGGATGTGGTAGGGGGAGGGGAGATTTTGAAGCTTGTGAAATCCACATTGATACCATTGGGCTGCAGGGTTCCCAAGCGGAATAGGAGTTGCTGTTCCTGCAACCTTCGGGTGGCATCGTTGTGGCACTGCAGGAGGCCCAGGATGGACATGTTGTCTGAGGAATGGGAGGGGGAGTTGAAATGGTTCGCGACTGGGAGGTGCAGTTGTTTATTGCGAACCGAGCGTAGGTGTTCTGCAAAGCGGTCCCCGAG